AATTAAACATTATATTATATATATTATGTATATATAATTATCAATGAGGGAGCCAGGCAGATGTTATAACTGGGTCAAAAGAGAACAGCAAAGAACAGACATATACATGTATTATGTAATATATATTATGTATTATGTATACATTGTATATATTATATGTGTATTATGTATTATGTATACATTATATATATTGGATATATTGCATATGTATTATGCAATATATATTATATATTATGTATACACTGTATGCATATTATATGTATATTATGTATTATGTATACGTTGTATACATTATATGTGTTTTATGTATTATGTATACGTTGTATACATTATGTGTATGATGTATTATGTATACATTATATACCTTGTATATATTATATGTTATATACATATATGTCTGTTCTTTGCGTTCTCTTTTGAGCCAATTATAACATCTGCCTGGTTCTTTCACTGATTGATGAGTGGAATAAAATCCTTAATGTATGCTTATTTTATATCTGTATGAGTCACGATTTTATCTTTTTTTTCTTGCTTGAGGAAAATTCACCCTGAGCTAACATCTGTTGCCAATCTTCCTCTATTTTGTATGTGCGGTACTGCAACAGCATGGTCACTGACGAGTGGTGTGGGTCTGCACCTGGGAGCCGACCCTGGGCCACCAAAGCAGAGCACACCAAACTTAACCACTAGGCAATGGGGCCAGCCCCCATGATTTTATCTTTTTTAGATCACATAGCTACCAAGAGGCAGAGCTGGGATTTAAACCTAGGCAGCCTGGCTCCTGAACCTCCACTCTTAAACCCTACACCCTATCAAATGAGCTAATACACAAGGACGCACTTAACTCGCAGTAGGTACTCAACACATGGCAGTGTTTAGTATTGCTAAGAAGTAAGCATTCTGTTTGACCAGAACCTGCATAAAACACCCAGTCTCTCACCGTTTTGGAAGTGGAGGAAAAGGATGTCAGTGTGACCCCTGAAGTCTGGGACTGGGATCCGGGTGTGGTCTTCCTGGTAATCCATCTTCTGTAATCTTCCCTCACCTGGAGATGGAGACACATCACGGGGAGATGAATCACTCCCAGATGCAGGGAAGTATGCTGGCACAGGCATGTCCCCTGGAAGGAGGGGCATCAGGGACAGCGAGGGCAGCAGCTACATACCTGGCGGTTGAGCAGACAGTGAATGAGGAAGATGAAGGCCCCCTGCAGGCTGTTGATGATGGTGAACAGGTAGGCCATGATAC